CCTCCTCCTCCTCCTCCTCCTCCTCCTCCCTCGCCACAAACCCCATTTTCTTCTAGCACTGACGATGTTACCTAGCTGGGTCATGAAACGTCTGCAATAGGCTATGGCAATCCCTGCAGCCTGAAACAGCTGATCATTGGGGGGGAGCGTGCTGAAACTGAAAGTGAAAGTGAAACAGTCTGTTTGCTGCAAGGAGACAAATTGCTGGGAGGCAGAGGCAGATTTCCCCCCCCCCCTTCTAATCAGGCTAAACTGAAAACAGGCTGTTTGCTATTTGCTGCAAGGAGGTAAGTCAATAACTATAAATGCCTATAGAATGTTCAGATTATTAGACTTATATTTTTTTTTAAAGACTGCTTTGTTATTGTTCTAGACAACTTAAGAAAATGAAGAAGTTTTTTTTTTAAATAAATGCTTGTTCTGAAGAGGCCCAGTGCTATTGTACCTTCTTTTAAATAGCAGAGAATAATGTATACTTCCAGTAATGAAACATTTGCAAGAAAACCGCCAAGCTCAAAGACCACCAAGGACCCCGCAGTTCAACCCCCCTTCCCCCAAGCTACGAATATTCTTCATTTACTGCATGATGCTTTCCCCCATATTTATTACTTTGAGTCATCCCGGAATCCCAAATGTCCCTCCTGTTTTTCCCCCGTTGAAAAAACGAACCAGCTCATTCAATCAGCGCTCCCTTAACAGAATCCCAAAATTCGGGTTTCCGCTAAGTGCATAGGGCAAAACGGAGGAGGAAAGTGGGGAAGTAAAGCCTTAGGATTTCCTAGGAAAATCCTTATGTTTTCCTGTCCTCCTGGCATGCTGCATATATCCCCACCCTCTTGATTGCTTGCCTGCTGGACGGGGATTTCTTCTGAATGGCCTCTTTCAAAGGCTGGCGTCCTAGTTTCATAAAACATGTTCTGGGTGTGCTGGATCCCCCAGGAGACAGATTCTTTGATGCCTCCCCCTTCCGGCATCGGCCTGCGGTAGAAGAAGAGGAGAAGAGGCTCTTAAAAACCACACGGAAGAAAGGCTGCCCGAGGGAGGGCTGAGAAAGACACCAGGAAACAGAAGCCCTTTCGGCATCGTTTGGAACTTTCGGAATCCAGAGTAGCTTTTCTATATGTTCTAGGTTTCTCTTGAGATGTTCCCTTCCGAATCAGTTGCACGCAACTAGAGATGGCCCTTGACGTCACAACGGTTCATTTAGTGAACATTCAAAGTTAGAATGGTACTGAAAAACATGACTTACAACCATCCGGGGGCTGGACTAGAAGACCTCCAAGGTCCCTTCCAGATTCTATTCTATTCATATTCTATTCTATATTCTATTGTATTCTTAATTCATATTCTATTCTGTTCTATTCTTAATTCATATTTTATTCTATATTCTATTCTATTCTTAATTCATATTCTGTTCTATTCTATTCTTAATTCATATTCTATTCTATTCTATTCTNGAATGAATGTATGAATGAATGAAAGAAATGCTACCGGTTTTGACTGGTTCGCTCAAACCAGTAGTTAAAATACAACTGGTTCGCCTGAACCGGTAGTAAAAATAATGAAACCAGTTCGGGCGAACCGGTTTTTTCAATGATCGGCTGTGACACACAATTTATATTAGCTGGGAAGCAGGATTTCCTGCTTTCTAGCTAATCTAAATCGCATGGCACAGAGGATTTCCCCCCCTTGCTGTTCGCTTACCATACCTTTTTGACCTTTGCACATGCGCAGGAGGCGCGCGCTCACATTGCTACCGAAATGGTAACAAAGGGAAGTGGATTTCACCCCTCCTGTGTTACCTCTGTGCCAGGCTCTGGGTCATCCCACGCCCTTACCATGAGCTTCGCCGTCAATCAAATGATTGGGTGGCTTGTCAACTGACTTCTGCTTCTTCTCTCTCCGCCGGTGGCAACGATGGTGATGATGGTGATGGGTATGTTCAGCTGGCCGGGGATGTTCGTAGAGATGTGTGGCACGGGGACGCTGTGGGTTGAGCGTGGAGACGGAGCGCTTCATGGGGCTGGTGTCTGGAATGGGCTGTGGCAAGAAGGAAGGGCAGAGGGGAGAAGAGGAAGAGAATGCAGAGAGAAGTTGATTGGATGTGCACCATCAGAAGGTAGCATCTCTTCCTTCACGCATCTGCACCGTGGGTATTTATTTTCACAGAAGAACAGAGTTGGAAGGGACCTTGGAGGTCTTCTAGTCCAACCCCCTCTCAAGCAGGAGACCCCTATCCCATTCCAGATAAACGGATGTCCAGTTTCTTCTTAAAACCCTCCAGGGATGGAGCACTCACAACTTCTGGAGGCAAGACATTCAACAAGCAACTGGGCTTCGTTTTTCCTTGAAGAGCTTTTGTTTCTCATCCAAGAAACTTCTTCAGTTGAACTGAAGGCGAACCGAAGAAGCTTCTTGAATGAAAGAGCGGAACGTCTTCGAAGAAAAAAGTCCAGTTGCCTCTTGAAACAGCACCTGTGGGACAACCAGGACCTGGAGGACCATAGATATTTAGCTCTAAGTTGGTTTCTATGAAACCTCTCCATTTAAACTCTTTAGCATCCGTGGTGCTCTCTCCGCTTGGTGGTGCACGGATGATGTTGCCTAGTTGGGTCATGAAACGTCTGCAAAAAAAACCACCAATCTCAGAGAGCACAAAGAACCTCACAGTCCTCCCCCTCTCCCTCCCTCTCCTCCTCATCTTCTCCTCTTCCTCCTCCTCTCTGAAAACCCCACTCACTTCTAACACTGATGATGCTACTTAGTTGGGTCATGAAACGCCTGCAAGAAAACTACCAAGCTCAGAGTCCCAAGGGCCCCCATAATTGTCATTGCTTTCCTCCTCCTCCTCCTCCTCCTCCTCCTC